ATTCCCATTACATAATTCTGTGAGTTTTCACAGTCAGAATCTTGCTTTCATCTATCCATTACCCATCCTTTTCAGAATTGTTAGGCTGGTGAACCTCAGCTAGATTCCAGCAAAGAACAATGCAACAGGAGCGGAAACATATAAATCCTACGACTGCAACTTTCTTCAATAAAGCGTCTTTCATATATTAATTCCTAAACTTCTGAGCTAGCATTCCTATATTACCTAAGGGCTGAAATTCTAACACTCCTATACAGTGCCAATTAAGGAAGGTCAACCTAATGCAAGCTATTCACAAAACTCTGGGTGTCTGTTTGATAGTAATAGCCCTTTCAAGTAATGTCATAATTTACTTATTCATAGCATCTCCTGTAAGAGCAACATTTCAGAAAATGTACAATTGCTAAAAATCTACAGGAATGGCCATACTTTATAATTCCCTTAAGTTATTAAAAGAAAACAAATACGCGTACTTGGATCTAATCCAAGGGGAGATGTATCCAGATGAGTAAGGCAAAGCAATAGTTCAAATTACAGATGGGTTTAGTAGAATATTCAGCCTTGCATGCCTAAACGGTCTTTGCCATTTCCCATTCACCCAAGGGAAACAAACTATTCCACTGCACAGAGTTTCCTAGTTGATAGGCAGGTAGATATATTGACTGAGGACCCAGTAGGATTCTTTGTACTTAACCTGCAGGACTGTTCTAATTCAAGAAGCATTATCTCAAGAGGTTGTACATTTCTTTTCAAAGAATTCTGCATGACACTTATGGTGTTCTGAGACAGGACGGTTTTTTTCCCCATTTCATGTAGATGAACTAGATTACAGATAGTCCTCAACTTACAACCATTTGTTTAGTAATGGCACTGGAAAAAAGTGGTTTAAGACTGATTTTTACAGTGTACGACCATTATACCAGGTGTCCCCAACCAGTGAGCCGCAGCCCAGTAGTGGGCCATGGCCTACTGGCCACTGGGCCGCAGGACAGGCTAGCACTGCAGCTGCGGGGCACAAAAACGGACCGTTGCCACGTCTCGTGGCGCAAAAATGGGATGTTCTGCAAGGTGCAAAAATGGACTCCACCACACCGCGGGGCATAAAAACAGACCGCCGCCTGCTGCAAGGCGCAACAACGGCCGCCACAACCCCACAGAAACAAGGCGCTGCACCACACAAGAACAGGGCAGGGCTAGTGAGTATCACACGGGCGCTCTGTTTGCAGCGCATGTGTGCTTGCGGCCCCATGCGCGCACATGCACACATAAAATGCTTCCCCCTCCCTTTTCCTCCAGTCCGCCAACTGACAAAGGTTGGTGACCTCTGCATTACAGCATCCCCATGGTCATGTAGCCAAAATTTGGGTGCTTCTGTATTTGTGACAATTGCACTGTCCTAGACTTAGGCAATCACCATTTGCGACCTTCCCCACTGGCTGCTGACAAGCAAAGACAATGGGGGAAGCCAGACTTGCTTAATGACCACATGATTCACCTAACAATTGCAGTGATTCACTTAACGACTGTGGCAAAAAAGTCGTAAAATGGGATGCAATTCACTTAGCAACAGTCTTGCTTAGCAATAGAAATTTGGAGCTCAATTGTGGTCGTAAGTTGAGGACCACCTATGCTGCACCCATATGCGAAACGCATCTTTGCATGCCAGATTTAATGGTTTCACAGAATGGAGAGTTCACTGAGCATTCTATAGCGATTGCCAAAACCAACTGCTGATCAAACCAAAACATAAAAATGAAAAGTCTATAAAAGGGAATCTAAATACTGAAATTAATAATAGTCATGTTATATCCTGAAGTTGTTAATTTGAGTTATTGAAAGAAATTGGTTGCTTTGCACCAATATCCCATCATCATTCTGATCTAGATAGAAATGGAACAGAAGATTTTGGTCTCCATCTAAATTAGATCCCCTCTCCTTATTCTTAATAATATTTATAAACATACTTATTATATATGATACCAGAAGAATTTTCTGACACCTATAAGACCTGCCTTGATCTCTACATTTTTCTCTAGAATGGTTGTTTATTCACAATTAACTAGTCCAGTCTAGTAATTTAGTCTTTGGTTGTCAATGATGCTGTGAAGTTTGAATACTGGAATCAAGTAGGATTAACACAAACTGCCTTCCTACCTCTTACTCAGTCTTTGCTATTATTTGGTACAGAGCAAACCTAGTTGTCATCCGCTTTCCCCAGCTTGTGTCCCAGATGGAGTTCTCATAATAACAGTGAATACTAAGATCATCAATCAACCCTCACTTTCTCCTTTTCCATGTTGATCTGCTTTTCAACCATTTCATTTTCCTTGGACAAGCTGAACAAAGAATCTCACACTTGAAAATTCACAATGTAAAATGTCAGTAAAGTTACATCATTTTGGAGGAAGAGAAAATTATGAGCCATATATTTCTCTTAGATGTTGTTGGTTCTTTAACAGAAGCTTCCACCACCTTGGATGAATGAAAGTTGTTTAAGGGTATTTGGGGCAGAAACAGGATTTTGTGGCTTAAAATGGCATTCAGCTACTGTTCACTGATGTGCTGTCTTGGCAGAATGATACATTTATTGTTGTTTCTTGTTCTATTAATGGAAAGAGTTAAATACACTGCTCTTCTGCTCTGTGTGATGTGATGATCCAGTTTTCCCTGTGAACCAAACCATCTATGAAATTTGAATTAAATCAGATTAAACAAGTACCAAGATGTAGTGTGTAATTTGCCCTCTCCACAAAGCTCAAAATTTTGCAACAAAAGCCATCCACTGAACAAAATAGAAATATGTTAGGCAAAGAATTGTCTTAGGTTGGTAGGAATCCAACTTTTAACATATCTAAAGAGCACGGGGTTGGAAAAAGCTGTATATGAAGAAGTGTCTGAATTGCCGTGTCACTATGAAGTTCTAAAAGCAGTGTGGTGCCACAATCAAGACATCTGAGATTTTGAACATGATACCACAGTGCATTTGTGACCACTCAAAATGTCTGCTGTGATCCCAACCTGACTACAAAGTAATTTTACTGTGGTAGAAGACGCAATCTTTAATGATGTGGTGCCCTAATTATGTTTGCTACATAATTAATTAATTAATTAATTTTAATTCCATTCAATTAACTTTCCTTGGAGGCCTTCCCTTCCATTTAGAGCACAGGACTCAGATATGTTGCATAGTGCTGGTTTAGAGAAAATGGCCAGGATTAGACCCAATATTTATCTGTGCATTGTCTACATTAACTTCACAAGACCAAATCAGCTGGGTCCCTGCAGCTTCCAGAATTGAATGTAACCTCTTTTTGATCTTGGGAATGTCCTCAGCTCATACCAAGAGCATAACCAGTAGTGAGAGTGAAGTGGTAATTTATTTTCTCAGGTAGAAGGAAACTATTCTAAATCTTGCTTTGCATCTGATGTGATCTTAGTGATATTGTAATAGAGTGTGTGCTTGCACATACGTGCACTGGTAGATACCATATTAGCCCTTTGGCTCACCCAGTGAGAATGTCCTAGCCCATAATCTACACATTTATGCTGTTCCAAAATCCTGGGCACTCTTTCCCAGAGAAGAAACTGGTTTTAGCTTTTATAAACTCATTTTTAGAGTTACCAGAGTGGCTGGAATGCAAGGTAGGATAAATTCCTTGTCAGGATGAGACTACTGATTCCACAGAAGATACAGGTAATTTGTTATGTAGATTAAGCTTAGAGCTAATTGAGAATTGTAGACAATGAGAAAAATCTTGCAGACTTTGATCTTTTGAGCATGCATAATAGAGAGAGGGAGAGAAAGTATGTATATCTTATACCAAGGATATAAAGAAACAAGATAAATCCAGAATGTATTTTTTTAAAATATTTAATGTACATTTATCTCTATATTTCCCAGATGGTTAGTCCCTTCTTATTCTCCAGATCTCTTCGGTTGGATGCCAGTCCAAGAAGAAAAATCATCTCAGGATAGAAAATCAAAAAACAACACAAAGTGGAAGTTTCCCATCTTTTAAGGCCCACCTGAAAGGGAAACGTGCCCCTGATTGAGTCAACTATTTGAATTTCCTGATTTTTATAGGCTTTTGTTGGTTTGTATTTATGTTGATTAACTTTGTCATTTGCCCTCCTAAATCTTTGGAAATGAGATTTCTCCTCCCCTCAGATACATACTTCAACCATGGCTCTCACATAACATTGTCTTATTGACAGATCTGCTGAATCAAAGTTACAATATATTTAACAGCACACCAATTTGAAGCTCACTTTGTACAAAAGTACGTTTTTGCTTCATGCTACAAATGAGAAAACAAAATTACATCACATTAAAATAATAGTGAATTGATCTTACATAGAATCATTTATTAATACATAAGTTAAAACAAAGATATTCACAAATAGCTGCATCGTCACTGCATGAATTTCTTTTAACTAAATTCCTTGTTTCGGTGCCTGCTGACTCTAGTCAACTTTTGCAAATACGTACATTGGGAATACTGCATAAACTATGACAAAACTGTATTCATTCTGGGTTGCCTTCTCAGTGAATTAGACAAAACGATCATGAGAAGTGCACTTTGCAATTGGCAGAGATGTGTAAATGGCATGTTACCAGTTAGGATTAGGAAAGGAGGAAGGGCATCATATTTAGAGTCAAGAAGGCCACTATCTCCTACTTGAGCAAGGAGTTGGACTAGAAGACCTCCGTGGTTCCTTCCAGGTCTATTATTTTATCTTCTAGTAAAATATATCCTATCTCCTGAATGTGCCAGTTCTGTTTAGCACAATAGGTTTTCGTTACGTGTCATATAGCTAACAGTGTTTTTGAAAAAGTCAGATATACCATTACGAATCAATGCATCTGAGGAGAAAAAAATGCTAGGTTTTTTTTAATTTCCTGTTTTCATGATTTACTAGGTAAAAACGAAACCATTGGTTATCTTGCTATATTCTGATTCTAATCCCAAAAATCAATGGGATGACTTGAGGTAGTTCATTGATATATAAGGCAATAAGCTCACTTTTTCATAAACTGTTTGCAGTTGACATATATTGGATCCTCTGTTGCAGTAGGACTTTGACTGGTATTTGCTGAGCCCTGACCAGACCAGTTTTTGTATTGATGCTGGTTCTATAAAGGAAAGAAAAAAATAGTAATGAAAAAAAAAATAGCAAAAAGATACTGTCCTTCAAACAGAAACGCTCACAACAGAGGCAAACCTTCCTCCTCAGGCTGCACTTTAAGAGTTAGGATCAAAACAACAGTACACAACCATATTATATTATTGCAGTTGTGGTAGGCATTAAAGAAAAGAACTTGCGGTATAGACTAGGTTCACATCTACTGCTAAACAATAATTTGTTTAATTGAGGTTTATAAAATCCGTAATTAGCTAACACAACATATTAAACCAAAACCAAATCAGTCATATTGTCACATAAGTTGATGCATGACCCCATCCAAAAAATTTCTTAAGAATTATCCAACTCCCAATCTACACTACGTACTAAAATAAAGAGTATTCTTTGGCCAGTTGTCTTTCGTTATGAGGAAAGCTGTACTTTACAAGGAAAAACTGTAGACCTCACTGGGTTCAATCTCAGAAGAGTCACAGAGGAGCATCACGTCAAAATAAAAGTTGAAAATAGGAACTTTTGATTTGATTTAACCTTAATTCTTATTGTAGGTGTAGATTTTTTTAAAAAGGCTTAAAATACTACGTGCTAGTATTCCCAGTGCGCACCAGGTCTTGTACCTGCCGATGTTACAAATTAAATAAAAATGTATTTTGAAATTAAAATGGCTACAAATGTCATGACATTTCAGCAGTCTCATTCCAGAGCTTTCTGTGTGCGATTTATAGTGAATGTTAAAAATGTGATTTGCCTAGACAGGCAATCACGCAATGGTGTGGGTGTTCCAAAATGCTGCTGATCCATAGCCTGTGTTCAAATATGTTATTAGCAAATATATATGCATACAGTGGTAATCGGGACTGAAATTTCAGTTTCTAAGCAATTCAATGGCGTCATAAAATGTAATGTTACATTACTCTGCTACTTAGCAATGGCAGTACCACCAATTCCTGGTTGCTGTTATGAAGCAAATCAATGCAGGCCATTAAGCAAGGATCTCACGTGATCATGATTTTGACTTCCTTCCGGCTTCCCCATTCACTTTATTTGTAGGAAGCTAGCAGGGAAGTTCACAAATCACGATCATGTGAGTGGGAGACATTGTGATGGTAAGAAATGTGGGTCAGTTACCAAGTGACCAAATAGTAATAAATGGGACTACAGGAATGTTACAATGGCTTCAACTACAAGGACCGATCGCTGAATGAGGGTTGTTCAGTGAGGTCTATCTGTCTAAATAAACCACATGACTCTTCCTATTCCTTTGAAATGCAACATCTATGAAAATGCTGTCAAATATGTCTTTAGCTATTGGAAATATTCTTTTAAAAAATACTTAATCTCGTCAAACCACCCTTCTACTGCCTGAGTCCTGCATTATTATTGCTGTGCTAATGCATGGAAATCATCCAACTTAATACTTTTTTTTTCTCCAAGAATGGAAGAAAGATTCAGCTGCAACTAATTTCTTCTATTTTTCCTCTATAGAAAAGGAACAAAGAAAGCTGAACAAAGAAAGCCAAATCCTCAGCCTTTCAGGCTGATAGAGTTGTGAAGCTACCAAGCAGGCAAACCATGAAAAGCTGAATATTAGGTACCTACTAGGAATAAAACAGAATCAGCTCAGCTAATGACTATTATGGAGAAACAAGAAAACTCTTAATAGAATATAGGAGTTCTGTGTGGCTTATAGATTCTCAATTTATAATGCCATTTTAGAAATAAGTAAATAAAGTCTTTGTGCTTTGTGAGCATCTTATATAAATTGCCCTGGGGCAGTTTGAAGTGTGCCAGAGTTTTCCACTTTGTTGTTCAAACATTTGTTTGTATTATCCTAAGTATTATCCT